GCTATTTGGGTGGGAGTAAATAATTATAGGGTTTGCTATGGATTTTCCTTTTGTTTCATGTAATTATTTTCCATTTACTCCTTTGAACTATTGAGATGTTGAAGGCAAAATCTCAGTAATTTCCTTTTCTGTCATACCCAGCAAGACAGTAGGAAAATATATCATATTTTTAGGATAAAGGATAACAACAGCTGGTGTCAGGCTAGTAAGTGAACCACATGTAAAAAGCTCTGCTGCCTTGCCAAAGACAAAACTCATCCACTTTCTGGTATGTCTCCTACACACAAGTCAGAGTGCAAATTCCCCACTCATATGTATTGACAGTTGAAAAATAGGCTGGCATTTGCATAGGGGGAAGTATGTATGGAAATTTGCAGTATGGACTAGCAGAACATACTAAAAACAAATGCCCAGTTGCAGTAAAAACATAGATGGCCTAGGTGACCCTGGTCCTAGTTCTGCTAAAACTATCAGGTCAGGGAATACTTCTACCACTCCTTTTGCACCCCACATATCTGTCCTAGCCTCAAGTGGGAAATGTCACCAGCACCTCCAAGTATATAAAAAACCCTTGCCTGTTTCTACTGCTGGCAGCTTCTTTAGTCTGCACAGATGGGGCACTTCTCTCTGAAAAATCATGCCATAAATTGCACAGACAGTCAGCTGTTGTGATTCTGTCCTTGCTGCCCATTTCCCATTCCCTTTCTGCTGGAGAAGATTCCCCTTTTCTGAAATATTGTAAAGAAACTTCTCTATTTCTAGTGAAAATTAGAAACAACTCTTAAACTCTTTTTTCTGTGGCTATTTAACAACCTCCTTTAGCAAAGTTTACTAAATAGCAATGCTGTCTTGGCCACATCCAATCATTCAAAACTTTGGAAAGAGGCTGTTTCAGGAAGTCAGTCCCACTACAGGGGACCCAGGTATTCAGTGTCCCTTGGAGGAAGTGCAAACCCAAAAGATGCCTGCTTCGTCGAAGAACACGGCTGTCAGTTGAGTGTTTCCTCATAATCAACATGTGCACACCTACGTTCTAAGACTCTCCACGGGCTTTGGTTCTTTCATTGTAGCTGAAAACCTCCTCCATGAGGTTTGTGTGATCTTTGTTTTTCTCTCTGTGTTTGGTAGTGTGTAATCACACACCGATAATAAGGGGGAAGAGAATAAATCCTTGCATGACTGTTAATAACTCACTAAGGTTTGCAGCAAGGAGAGGAATGGCTGTGTGGCTCCCGGGAGAGTCCACAAACCAGAAACACTGCCAGAGCCTACATGGTTAGAGGCTGGAGTTACCTTCTCTGTGCCCAAACATAACCGCTCTTTGAGTGTGCTCCAGAGGAGCTCGGAGGCACCAGTACACGTGCCTGGCCCTTCCAAACACAAGCTTAGGAGTGATGAAATTTTCTGTTTCACTCCAGTCTGGTTCTGGAGACTTTGCTTTCTACTTTGTTCTCTCATTTGAGTCTGTAGATTTAGTACAACTGGGAATTTAGATTTAGTACAACTGGGAATTCTGGATTATCTTTCTCCTGACCTTGCATGTTATGTAATAGTGCCTGCACTTCTGCAACCTTTCTATGGCTTGTTATAGTTATACATATATTTTAATATCTCTTTCTTTGCTACATTCTTAGGTTGACAATTTAATTGTCTTTTTCAGAGTTATATATGCAACACTTGCTTGAAAAAATGTCTTCTGTGCTTTTGAAGAGACAGTCAATGTCAGAAATAAGTGAACACTCTTTTCTTGTCCTTCAAAAGGCAATTGGAAAATTGTATGAAACTCCTTTAATGCTCACACTTTGAAGTTCCCAAAAAGGTGGTTTCATTTTCATGTTGATGAACTTTAGGAACAATATCCTGACCAAACATTAAGTAACAGAGACACTCCAGGTTAAAGTTCTTTTTCCTTTCCATTCCATATGACAGAAGCTTCTATTGCATCCAAAATTTTGGATAATTAACTTGTATTCATGCTCAGAAAAAAAAAAAAAAGCAGAACAGAAGAAAAAACTTCCTGAAGAACCTGCAAAGGGTTTTAAACAAATGAGGACCTGTTTTATCATTTTAGCTTGTTTTCATGATAGGTGATTTCAAAGGAAAAATGGGAGTTCCAGGTAGAAAATTCAGACAAAATAGATGTATCTAATAAAGTTACTGAGTCTTTGCAATTTTTTTAAGTTGGTAGTATTCACAGCTCATATGCTTTTTAATTATTTCTCTGTGTGATATTTGTGTTTTCTGCCGGATTGATGTTGTGATAAAAGGGTTTTGTGAAATTGGTTATGTTTCTTCATCCCAGAAAATAGACGTTCTTTTCAATGCCTTTTCAAAACTGCAGCAAACATGCTAATCTATAAAGGTCCATTAGTCCTGCAAATACTATATTAAATTCTAAAGACTAAAATTTTTAAGAATATTTCATCCATATTTCATCTGTACTGAAACCAAATGTCAAATGTGCTTAGTATGCTTACAGATCTCACAGTAAATGGCTTGCACAGCTCTATTTTCAAACTTGGAGGGTTTTTAGAGCACATGTTTTTCAACTTTAGATGGCTTTTATTTAATCTGGTGCTAAGGTGAAGTATCATGCACGAGCATTAATGTTATGATTTACCGGAAGCAATTAAATCCATTTCATCATCTTATATATTTCCATTGCAGATTGGGTACCTAGTTTCCTTTATAGCTCAGCTTTCAAGCATCTTGAAGTAGTGACAAGGCTAAACTACTTGCATGTTTTAAAAACAGAAATTTTACAAACTTTAAATACAATTTTTTATTTATTTTTATGATTGTTTGTCTAGATTGAGGAATGGACTTTGAAAATGAGACTGGAAAAGACCTGCCCTTAAGACCAATAATAAAGACTTTGGGTTCATTCTTTACCTAGCATGAAGAAACTTTCACTGACTATTTGGCAATCTATGTTTTTTAGCAGGTTTATTTCCTTCAAGTTTGTCTGTGAGAAAATTCCAGCAAAGTAAATTATATAATCTATCTGAAACTACAAAGCTAGTGAGAAGTGTTTTATCCAGTTTCACTTGCCATGATTAAATTCGAGTTCAAATAAGATGCAAGATGTGAAATGGATATGTGGTACTAGAGATTTTTTCAATACATTTTGGTGCATTTATTTATAATAAAAGCATTTATGTGCATTGCAAACCCCTTAATACAAAGGCTGCAAAGGGGACCATTTAAGTCAGATCAGCACTTGTCCTCCTCATCTCATCTCAAAATATGTAGTCAGAGGCAGTTCAGTATCCCCAGAAATTTTCATTATGCATTCATAAGTGAAAGAACCATAGAGCTTGGGAGTCTTGGCATTAACATCCTTGGTTTAGAACAAGTCAGAGACACTCATCACTGGAGCCAATTTCGTTGTTGAACATTTCCGTATGTTAATAACAGGAGTAACGGGAAGGCTTACACTGTTATGTGTGAAAAGTAAAACAAAAAATAAATGGAAAATAACACTGTATTTATGCTTTTTCTTCCCATAGAATGATAATACTTCTTTGCATGGTTCTAAGGTAAAAATGTTTTCTATCCAATGATTGTTTTCTCTTGTGACTCACAAAGAGAAAGTATGGAGGCTGTTAAGGAAAAACTGCAGGTCTATTAAATTTACATTCATACCAACGTCAGTATTAAAGACTTTGGGGCTCGTTTCTCATTTGCTACAATGCAAATGTATTCCATATTTTACAAACACTTCAAGGCTATTTTCTACTGCCAGAACTGTGAAAAGTGCCCAGAGGGTAAACAAGTATCAACAATTAGCCTGTAGCCAAAGCCTCCAGCCTCCAGCCTGCATTAGGACTGTTGAGAAAATGTCTGTAATAAGTCCTCAAGATCACTGTCTTTTCAATGTATTATTCAAAACTTGTATTACTATCAAATCAACAGGGAAAGAATGGCTGTTTGAGGGTTAGACATGAAAGTGCCAGTTCTTGCACCTCCTTTTCCATATTTGTTGGTAACTAAGTTTTTGAAAGAGTCCTAGCAGACTTTCTCATAATCTGTTTTATTATCCCACTGTACTTGGCTGATAGCTTGTACAAGTGACTGATAAGCCACTCAAGTCAGAGCTGGTGGTTTCTGACAGTAGGTTCTGCCATTTCCTGTACCTGCTGCAACTGAAGACAGTGTGCTTTGGTAACAAAGACCTGGGCAATTCTAAGGTTAATAATTAAGTGAGCCTAGGCCCACCAGAAATATATTTTCTGTACCAAATATATCCTCCATTATTCTTGGATAGTGCTTTTACCATTTAGAGTCTCCTAGAGCAGTAGAGTTCTAGAGCCCTCTTTTTCAATGTGACACTCAGCTCTGTCCATCCATGATTCTGCACATTCAGAATGAGCATCAATAGCCATCAGAATGTGCTGTGCTTCCCTCCTGGGAAGAGTTATAAAGAAAACAGGCGGACACTGGCTTGCCCAACAATTTGCTGTTGATTCTGCACCCAACCCAAATAGCCTCTCTCTGCGGTTATCCTGTATTTCAGAAAACACAGAGATTCAAAATCACTTGTCCCAGAGAAGAGTTGGGTTGGAAAAGAGACCCTAGTACCTTTACATATGGCCACTGAAGATGGAATTTCAGCACTTGGGTTTAGTAATGTTTGGTCATGGCAAGGATTAAAAGATTTAAAAATTGAACAATACAAAGAGAAATAAAGGGGTTAGGGGATGGATTTTCTGTTTGTTTGTTTGTTTAGGGTTTTCTGTTGTGGTTTTTTCATTTGTTTGCTTTCTGGTGGGATATTGTTGGGGGTTTTTTTCGATTTTTATTGAGAAATTAAAATAATTTTTTAAAAATTTGGGTTAGAACATGCAGGTCTTACTTCAGCAAATGCCTTAAGAAAAGAAAATTATAATTCAGCACAAAAAGCACATGTTCATTTTGCAGTCAAACCTCCTGAACAATAAAAGGTATAGATCTTGACCAAATAATTGCAGTGACATGTTCTGTAAATTCTCTAGGTCCTGGAAAATCCTGAATGTTTTGAAAGAAAGTAGCAGAAAATAGAGGACAACTCTGAGCCCCTCATGTCTCCAAGCCAACTGTTTACTCCTTCTCTCCTACTCATTTCATATTTCCCATATGAGAAATGGAAGCCCTACAAGTGAGTATTAAACAATTTAGAGATTGAAGTAGCAAATAAGTAAAAGGGACTACATTCCTGTCGTTTTCTGTTGCTGTGATCCTTCTCTTCAAGACTGCATCACATGTGATGCAGAATATACCAGATAGGGCCCTTGTGAGAATAAAGGCATTGAATATTGCAAAGTGGTGCAATGGGAGCCATATATAAATGCTAAGATAAATACAGATTTGATAAATTACTAGCAAAGGCACTGGAGGGAACAATACAAGATGATGCAGTCGGGCTTTTTCATCTCACTCTCATGACCCTTAGAGAAGGCATGGCTTTCCAGAACCCTGCACCTGAGGCAAGATATTTTAGTCATTTTATACGTAATTACCCCTTGAGACCTCTCAGATGCTCAGATAATAAAACGTAGCTGTAGGTCTTCAACTGTGCTGATATACGGATGTCCATTTCAGAATAGGAAAAGATGCCGTATGTCAACATTTCTTAGCTCTGATTGCCAGTGCTAATATGTGTGAATGTACTGAGAAAGTATGGTTTCTTTAAAAATTTAACTTAGCTGCAGCTTGTGCCCACCACTGCAAGGGTTTAATCCTAAAGCTTCCCACACGATGGTAGGGAGACATGCAAGTTGTTGAGATCTGCGCTGAAGACAGCTCCTATCCAGCAGATTTGTCCCAGCTGTCTGCACTGAGCAGCCATTTCCCTTAGCTCTATGTATACTACCAGCTAAAAGCTAACTTAAAAGGAAACATTTCAGTCAGTTAGTGAAAGGACAATACTCATCTTTGCTCCTGACATTCATGTTTCTCAGAGCTGTTAAGCAAAGTGATAATTTGCTGCAGAGGAAGTATACTAGACAGAAGACATTTTTACAAGAATATGTTTATTAAGGAATACCTACATAAAAAATGTGTTTTTTTCTTGCATCATTTTTCCTGACAGAAATATTACTTACACTAAAATCCTATTAAAAAGTTGTTTAATTTAATAACATTCATTGTATTAGTTCCCCCTAAAGTAATCACTTTGTTGAGAACACACTCTCTGTTCCTTTATTTGATCTGGGAATAAAATTATCTTGTCTTTACTTCAGTATCTCCTTTTTATTTTTTTTCTAGAATAAATAAACATGAAGCTGTCACTGCAGAGTAGGCACTGCCTCTCCTGTTATAAACCTTTTGATTTCTGTACTGAGAGAATTTTTTTGCACAATGATTCTTTTAGAATATGCTTGAAGTACTACATTTTCTTACTTTCTTCTTTCCCATGTAGATACATGAGTAATCACAGAGACTTTTTGCTGTCCCAGTAGATTATATTGTTCTATCAAGTTTTATGTCCTTCTCATAGACCTGGTCAGGTTATTTATCATGAAAAAATGATTTAATGTATTAGGTAGTAATTTTAGTATAATTGTTATTATAGCAACCAAAGCCACCAGTTGTGAGATTTGAGCCCTTTCATACCAGTAAAACACACTGCAGTCCTCTGTTCCATAAAGTCTTAGTTAAAGGGCTTGACTTATGCACTCTTCACCCACATGGCTATCATTAGCTGCTAAACTTTTGTTGTGTGGCCAGGCCCTCAGAGTTGCCTCCTATACCTTGGTACAAACTGCCACATTTACCAAGGGGTTGCAACATCACCTGCATAAATATTGGAGATCTTGGCCTCTAGAATGTGGTGGCTTCTTGGCAGTACCAGCCAAAAGACCACAAGTCAAAAAGAAAAAAAAATAAATAAATCTATAAATAAATCCAAAAACTGTGGAGGAACTGGATCTGTCACAGACAGATTATTGTTATCTATTCTAGAGCACGATGACAGCTCTTTGGATCTCAGCTCAATATTATATCCACTCTCCAACAGTTAACTGTTGACTTTCAACACAGCTGTAAACATGGGTATACTACACTGTTTGTGTACTATACACATATAGAATACATCAACAAAATTCTGTTAAAAAAAATACAAACTTCTGGGTTTATTTACTAGAAAGGAGTGTATGAAATCATGGGATGTAAATGTTGTATGTTTTTCATATTTAAGAAATGCTGATTTGCATGGTTTCTGAAAACCCAAACTGGTAATCTATTTGAGACACCACCAGCTTTCAGGGGATGTATTTAATCAAAATGTTATTATTTGCAGGTATTTCTAGCTTAGAAGACACTACCCTTGTTGTAATGTGTTGTATTGGTGACTGGGTAGTTCCAGGGGCTAATGAGGAGATATAAAATCACAGTGAACCCAAGTGACCATTTCGAATCTAACCCAAGTAAGTACTGTTCATTTGATCTTTAATCTTGTATCTGATCAAAGTAGCTATTGTTCATTCAGTCTTTACTCTGGTATCTGTCTGATAAAAACATATGAGAAATGATTTGACTGTGTCACTGCAATTTGCCAGGCAGTTGTAAGAAATCGTCTCCCAAACTGATGTATTTATTCGGTAGCACCTGTGAAGGAGCTAGCAACTCAACAGGAACAGAAATCCTGTCATCATTAGTCAAAGAACTGACACACTCAAAGGAAAAGAATAAATACCCTGGGCTTTTTCCTGGGTTTCTTGCCTAAATAACAGCACTTCTTTGTTCAAATAACATCTGAGATCTTAGTTAAGCAGTGGAAAGAAGGTGGCTTTATGTATCAAAGAGAAGTGCAGGTGCTAGACATCTTCAGACAAGATGGAAATGCATGTATACACATGTATAGAGCACAGGAGGCTAATTTCAAGCCCTGGGAAAAACAAATTACCAGAGCCTCTAACATCTCTGTGCCCTGTCCCTGGCTGTCAAGGAATATGGTGCAACTTCAAGGTTAAAAATAAGTTGACCATAAGATGAGGTTTCTCATTTGTCCTAAAAAGAACATTATTTTATTTACCTCATCACTGTTGACAGGATCACCATCAGGAAACAGCCAAGCCTTCTTCTCAATCCTTGCAAGAACTGTGGTGTTTATGTCAGCTTGAATTCTCTGTTGCCATAATTCAGAGACCTGTATGTCCAATCCCTTCTTAAAACTGGAAAAGGGGGGCTCATGACTCAGTATGTTTCTTTGGTACCTTAAGAAGCTGTCAGGACCCTGCCCTCTGCACTGCCAGGAGGGGTAGACCCTCTGCCCTGAGTTTTGGTGCCTGAGCCCTAAGCACTGTCACCAGAGCCCCACCAAAAGCAGCACCCCACTGCCCCACAGGGCAGGTTTGCATCTGATGCAAATTTCCCAAGGACTGAAAATACAACTCAGTGTTGACAGCTGTCCCAGGCTTGTTAGCCCCAAACAATCCACATTCGGTGCAGTTTCCTTTTTTTACCTAATTCTCTTTAAGGGAGACAAACTATAAGTGGGTTAATATAAACAAAGAGCAAGTAGTCTGTGTAATATAAGAGCAAACATTATAGATTATGAGCTGAGGGACATGGCTCAAAAGGCAGCAATTCAGCAGCCAGTCAGAATCACCAACTAAATTTTTCTTTACTTACTTTAGGGTTTTTAGTGCCCTCTGGAAGGACATCAACAAGATTTAGACACAAGCATATCACTACTGTAATGAACACTGACAAAAAAATTGAGAAATTGGAACTGGAAATGCATTTGCAATACTTCTTCTTTGGGAATTACTACCATAATTACACCAGTTTAGAAAGCAATACCTTTGTAAGTGCTTTTACCCCGTCATGTATCACACAAGGGATTATAGCATTTTAATGACCTTGGTGGCTAAATTGTGCAGTACCTATAATAGTATGAAATCTAGGAGAATTTTTGGCCCCATTGAGGCCATAGAAAATCTCCTACTGACTTCATTGGAGCAGCAAAATCCATCCTAATTTTTCAGGTGTGACCAGCTCCAGTCACAAGAGGGGCTTATATTGCCCTCATACTCTTAAAGTAAGTGTGAACTGGTACTTTTCATATACGTATGCTACAAATGCCCTGACTTTTATTTCATGAAAGATGTTATGACATGGAATACATTGTTTCTCCATGAAACATGCACCTTTTAAAACCAGCTACTGAAAGGGTGATATATACATCGCTATTTCTCCTGTCACCAAATAAAATGAAATTCATAGACCTGCTCTTAGCTAATGTGATACATGTTTTATGGCTAAATAAGGCCTTGAAAATGAAAATCTTCTGTCCTTCTCATGAGGTACATAGATCCAAATTAAATGAGCAAGTTACGTTAAGGCACCTACAAACCTTGAAAAAGGTGTATTGGCTTGTTCATTCTTCCTCTGGATAATAAACTCACTTGTCAAACATCTAGAGAGCAAGCCAAAGGAAGTGAACATTGCCCTGCCTTAGCTTCCTTTATATGTTTTCAGTTTTCTGAAATTGGGCATATCTTCTGTAGATAGGACTATAAGAGATTGATAGATGCCTTAAGATCGGTTTGCGCATGAAAAGGTAATAATTGATCCCTGGCCACTTCATGAACCAGCATTTAGTGTGTTGTGCAACTTCAGAAATAAATCAGAATAACTACTTGAAAAATAAAAGGAGGTAAAAAAGCTCACTTTCCTTCAGCTTTAGGAAATATATGTTGTGTTAGAAAAGGTGTTAACTGACAACATGTTTTAACAGACATGGCAATAAATATGTCCAAGCTCCAACATTTTCTCCAGTGTGCAAAATGCCTTTGCAAGAGCCCGGAGAGATTCCCGCTGGTCTCTGCAGGATTTGGCTTGAGCTCCTCTGCAGGAATTAGTTCGTGCCAGTGGAAGTAAATAGGCCCTTGGGGATGCTGCTGCTGCCACTGAGGTATTTATTTTTATAATAACTTGTTGGCCAGTGCAGGGATAGGAAGTCACAACCACAGCTCCTGCATTCGAAACTCCACACCATTCATCCTTATCAGTCAGAGCCCTTTGCAAAGATAGGAATGATAAGAACCACAAACTTGAGGACCTGGCTACCAAACACCTCCTGGCCCCCCCGATGGCCACTTGCCATGCTTCTGGGAGCAGCTTCTTTCCCTGTGCTCTGCAGTGCCTGCTGGTGCCTCCCAGTAGCCAGCAAGCAAAGCCAACCCCTTCGACCACAGGGTAACTTATGATGAGGGCAACAGATCACGGGATTTTTCTGACTCATACAGAGCCAATAAAACGCATTTCTTAGGAAGAAGCCTCCCTCTCTATTTACTATTTCCAGTGGCTGCTCACACTGTGCTATTATTCAACAATATTTTCTCTAGCTTGGCCCCTTCCTGGCTCACAGAGCCCAGCTCTGTTGGAGAAGCTCTTCTTCTAACCTCCAAAATTGTCACAAACAAATTAATCTGTTCTTACTTTCAAATCAGGTAGGAAGCATGAGGGAAGCACAACTCCCTATTCACTGCCTTCAGGGAAAAGAGGGCAGACTGGTCAGTGACCACATGTCATTAGTCAAAGAAGAAACAGGATTACTCTCCTTCCCTTGCCAGACTCCACCACTCAAAGAAAACTGAAGCAGCAATAAGAGTGAAAGGGCCTGTGATAATGACACGACACTTTCATATCATGCGTGCTCTTTTATCAGCACTTACAGACTCATGAACACAGAGTGAAGCCCTGTAGAATTGGCTGGTTTTCAAATTTTTAAGAGTTGTTTTCCCACTTATTTCCTGTTTTCTTACCCAGCAGGCCCAACCACATCCAGAACCTAGATAATACTTGTGTCAGTATCTCTGCCAGCTTTGTTTAAACTCCCTTTCCTACACTTAAAACAAGCTTGAAGCTCCACTTATTCCCCTTCTGATACATAACTTAAGCAAAACTTGGCTTGAGGCCAACAATATCTATGAAAGGAGACATAAAGCTTGGGCAGAATAGGAAACAGGTAATTCTGCTGCTATTGCAAGTGCTGGAACATAGACGGAGAATTTTCTAATAACCTTCTCCAGCTGCCAGTTACTTGTTCAAAATGAAACACATATACTGTAGGAGGAAGAAGGGTTATGTGTTAAAAGAAATGTTGTCTGACATCTGTTTGCCACATGGTAGCCTTAACCAAAAATTTTCCCTCCTCCCAGCTGTTGCCTTGCTATGCACCCATTGGTTGCCTTCTCCACTCCAGCAGTGGCTTTGAACCTACAGCATGATTCCAGAATCTGTAGGCTTTGTTTCATTTTCACCAAGTCCGATATCCCATTGGAGTTCGCCCGGGAAAGCAGTCAGAAAAAGTGACTGAGAGCTTCAAAACACAGTTCAGAGCATGAGAGTCCTCCGTGTTCCGGCAGGAACTGAACCCCTCTGCAGTAGGTGGCCTCCATAGAAAATCATGAGCTCCCTGAATATCCACCCAGCCACGCAGCAAAGCCTAGGTTAGTGTTGGACAGCTGTAACACCTTCATGATTTGTGAACAAACATCAAAGGCCCCTGAATCCCAGAGTCCTAGCTCCCTCTCCTGGCAGAGCACCGAACCGGGAACAGAAACGGGGGCTGCACGGGGTGCTGCCCCGGCACAAGAAGCCTGAACCTCAGCTGCAGCTCGGCCAAGGGAGATGTGGAGGAACTGTGCCCTCAGTAATCAGGAGCTCCTCTCTGCGAGGAGCCCAGTGGTAATCACACAGCTATAGCTTTACCAGCAGATTAATACAGGATTAGCAAAGTCAAAATCTATTCTAGTGAAGAACATCTGTGACATAGCTTTAGCTGCATAAAAAATATGTACTTGAGCACAGATAAAACTTCATTGCTGCGTATTATCTGCAGTTCTGAAAGTTGGGGGTAGTGCAGTTTATTCTCTAATATTCTGACACTAGGCTGACTTGTGCAACTGTGCCATCATTCCTCTCCAACACCGCAGCATTCTTCTGTTTGCTGATTCCCATACATGCCGAGCCCACAGAGTGCCTCCCCAGACTGCTGCTTACTCCTTGAGAAGCACACATCTGCCTGGCCAGATAAGAACCTGTCACTACAGCAGGTAATGTACAAATACAGGGGATCTCATTAGTAGTCTCCAGCCCTTCAAAAACATATATTTTGTTTCCATGTGTGAAGGCACAGCTTATTCCCTCTCCATTCCAAGTAACGTCCACAACATCCCTGCTTGGTAAAAACACCCACCGTCACCAGTGGGCACAATGTCTGTGGCAGCACCAGAGGTGGAAGTGTGACACCTGCCATCATGGCCCAAGGTTGAGGCAAGGTCCTTCTTGGCCAGCAGCACATGCCTCCACGACTTCAGGGAACGAGCTGGCTCTTAATGGGGCGAAAGACAGCAGGGGCTCAGTGCAAGCACACAGGCCACTGAGACTGACCCAACCTGCAAGTTGTGTACAGGTACATGAAATTTGGACATCTCAGCCACTGACCCTTAGCAACTTGGGTTGAGTACACCAGTGGTTTATTTTGGTAGAATTTTGATTCTGTTAATCTGTGTTTCCACACTGTGGGTGGCTGAAGTCCACTGAAAGCCTCCCTACCAAATGGGTGGGCTGGGATGGCAGGGACAGAGCCTGTTGGCATCCTGCTGTTTCTGTGGAGAAGATGGAAACAAGGTTTCCTGAACAAGCAAAACAACAGGTCTCTCTTAGCTGCTTATAGTAGCCTTTTTTTAGAAAATATTTCGTGGGCTCTTTCAGTCTTTGGCAATGGGGTTACAGCTCTTGTTTATGAGGAGCAGAAGGCAGCTCACAGATGTGCAAGCTGGTTTCTGCTGTGGATATGTTTTCTTCTAGGTTTCACGCCAGGGCAGTTTTCCCAAACCAGTGTTCTTCCACAGGTCACTGGCTTACTTCAGGACTGCCCTTCACTCTCCAGCATCAACTACAGCTCCTGCTTAAATGATAAGACCCTAAGCATGTTCTTAGAGGTCCATAAAGCAAAGCCAGAACTGCACAGAAGATATTTAGTCAAGGCAAAGCTGTGGCTCATAAAATGTCTCATTGTAAGTTGACCATCTTGGTCATAGGAGACTTTCTGTATGTTAATCAGAATTAAATTATTGTTTCTTCCTCAGGGAGGGAAAATGAGATATTGGAGAAGACAGAGAAAGACAAAGGGAAAAGGATACTTCTGGATATTTCAAAGATGTCTAAACTTCACTTCCAGATTTCCCTGGCATGCTCATCAATTTCATGTTAAGAATTATAAGCAACTTATTTTTTCATCTTCTCTCCAACCGGAGTAGGTAAGCAGTTTTAAATCTGAGGAGTAGTTTGTGGTCTCAAGCAGAAAAAGGGAAGGTGTATCAGCAAGAACAGAAGTTTCCAGCATAGCAGAGCGCTAGATGAAGTGGTGGTGTTAGCCCTGACCAGCAGCAATCCCAGGCAGAGCCCTTCCTCTGAACCTGACAGTCTGCATTTCCTGAATCAACAGGCCCAATGCAGGGCTTGCTCTCACCACCATTACTCATGTAAGAAGCCCTGAAGTTGTGTTGGGGGGGAGGGTTAGCTTGGGTATTAGGAAAAGGTTCTTCACCCAGAGGGTGGTTTGGTACTGGAACAGACTCCCGAGGGAGGTGGTCACAGCACCAAGCCTGACAGAGTTCAAGAAACATCTGGATGACACTCTCAGGCACGTGCTGTGACTCTTGGGGTGTCCTGTGCAGGGCCAGGTGTTGGACTTTGATGACCCCGAGGGTCTCTTCCAAGTATTCTATGATTTTATAAATTTTTACCTGAGAGGGTGGTATGTATGCCCAGAGGCATCGATGGGAGACTGTAAATGGAAACTAACTCTTTTTCTAATTGTTATTTTGCAGAGCTATGCATCTACAAGTGGAGCTGTCATTCTGCCTCCCAAGTACCTCTTCTGGAAGAGACCTTAAAATGCATTGTTTTGTGTAAAAAAGCATTCATTGCTTTGCTCCCAGCTGCAGCTGATGTAGTAGGAGAGAGCTGCTCACCCTTAGTTTACAGACCAGTTTGGCCACACAGCTTGCTAGGTAAAGACAGGCCAGCACACTCAGATTGGTGCCAGGAATATTGCTGCTGATTGTGCTTACCAAACCATGTTATGTCAGCTGCATCCATGTCAGAGGAGCATGTGCAAGACCAGTTACAGCTAATAAGCCTCTATCTGAGGGAAAAAATGAGACCAGAGTGAGATTTATGACAATTTCAAGCACAGAATAAGCAGTATGAACAGATGAGCCTCAAAGAATGGTAAGGTCCTCTTTACATACAAATATTTTTTGGGGGGAGGGGAGTGAAAAAGGAATAAAATCAGAAAATAATAGAATGAATTATAGCAAATACTCTTTCTAAGTAAAGTCGTTTTGCATTTCCCATGGGAGTCAGTTGAATGAGAGAAGACAAAAAAAAAAGGAAGAGTAGAAACTGCTTGCAACACAGAACAAACCTTGAGTGCCAAGAACATGCTCCAGATTTTTTTAAAGATGCCTGGCTCTTATCTCAGCCTTGATTCATCACAGTTTACTCCCAGAATTATTCAGAATTCAAGGACCTTGCTCCTGTGGGGTTAATGGGTTACATTCAGCATTGAAACCCATGACACAAATAGCTGCTTAATTATTCACTCGAAGATGGTTTTAGTGGCTAATCTAAATAAAAACAGCAACAGCAAAAATTACATTGTTTTACCTTCTGTAGGTGAAATGATTTTTTCTTTTAACTGTATAATCCAGGACCGTGCACAGGCAGGAGGGGGCCCGTAAAAAGGAGGGGTTGTGCTGCTTGTGACACAAAAGATTAGCATGCTCATGACTGAAGAGGAGGAAAAGGAAAACACTGCCATAAAAGTGACAGTCGAGGTGAAGAATTGTGGTGAATGTGTAATGCACCACTGAAAAGATGCAGAAGAAAACATACCAAACTGGAAGTCTTATCATATCTATCCTGCTATTCCAAAGCACGAATTAATTTGAAAGGAAGAAGCTGCTGTTCTCGTTGGCTCACATAATTTGTTCATAAACACAGGCAAGAAGTATGCTAAAGTGATACAATTACCATAATTACTATTTTGTTCAAAAAATGCAGCGGTGGTTTTCCACCCTGAATTTCATTCAAGCAGCCATTGTGGCTGGTACCAATCAGGAGGTAATGGCACAGACTGCAGCTACTCCAGGAGCAAACACAGTAAATCTCATGCTTCAAATGCACCAGCCACACAGGATGTCAAAGCATATTACAAATACAGGAGCAGGTATCAGCCAGTCCTGGTACAAGGAATTTGTGTGCAGCTAAGCAAAGATACAGTGCCAAACCAATCCTGGCAGGCATATGTCGCTCCAATAGCAGGCAAAACCCTTTTAGAGTCAATGGGTCTAAATGTGGGGTTTTTGCAAAGGGTCAAACTTAGCATTTATTTAATTTAGCCCTGTTTTGAAAGCACGCTGTGCAACAGAGAGGAAATAGACATCCCAAAGCATCAAACAGGATCACTTTAAGCCCAAATCATCACTAAATGCAACGCTGCTGTGTACAGGGAATATCAAATTAAGGTGATCATTGCCAACCCCCATCAGCTTCCTGTCTTGCTGCAGCTTCCCAGGGGATGAACTACAGACAGGACTCTCCTGTAAAGCCCTGGTTAAACAGGTATCTGTTTGAGTTTGGATAGGGCTTAAAGCAAAGCAGGCTAAATGACTTGTTCAGTTGATGACACTTGGCAGTCCTGGTCACCAGTCTCTTGCCTTCTCACTCTGACTTGCTGTGCTAACTGGTCTGATGCAGGTGAGGTGGGAGTGTGTGTGTTAAGCCAAAACATTTTTTAACTTTAAAAAAAGAGATCTTTCATCTGTAAAGTACCCAAGCCAGAGCTATTTAAAAGATTAAGTTTGAGTTCAAGTTCTGAGACACCTCCAGATTTCTATTCCTTCCTCCTGTTCCTCACCCCATGATATTATTTCCTCATGTCATTGAAAAAGAGGGGAGCAAAAGGGGAAAAAATAATGGCAAAAATGTTAGAATAGCCATATTTTTGGTTTTGTCTCTTTCTTTAAACATTTGAAAAAGTTGATGTTTTTTAAAACAGAGAAAAAGATTTAGGCTGTATGCTTTGCATTTTTCTCTGTGATATTTCATACTGCTCACTGGTCAGATGAATGTTAGTGTTTGGATAAATTGGGAATAGAAGGACGGTGGTGTGTTCTTCATAGAATTAACATAAGGATTGCATTGTCAAGCTTATACTGGAGAAAAGCTAGAGGGTGATCATTTTCTGTTTGGCACAGAACATAAAGGGTTTCTTCCTGTGTACCACTAAAAGTAAGGGATTGTTCTGCAAGTGACAGTGGAGGAAAGGGAGTTTTGTGCTTATGTCACAGAAGGAAGAGGATTACTGTGCAAACGATGCTCAAGGAAAAGGATTAAACCATGTATGACACAGAGAAGCAAGGTCATTGTACAGACACCACAGGAGGAGCAGGGTGCTGTGGCACAGGCTGGGAAGGATTCTTTAAAAGTCAGAATGAAAATTAAAAAGAGAGGAGGACTATAATTTTGTGAATGTGGCTGGAAGACAAGGTTTCTTATGAGCAAAAATAAGTAAAGGAAGAAATGGCTGTACTCCTAAGTCAAGAAGTACTTGTTCATTCTACAACCAAGCACCTACATTTTTCAGACAAAACAGAGTGCAGTGCCACTCATTAGTTTAAAGGAATACACATACTTTGAGCAATAATTGAATGATGATATCTCACAGAAATACTTTGTGATCTTGAACTTAACTGCCCTTCAGACAAGAAGTTGGCTCCCTCTTAGATTTTTTTTCCTTATCCCTTTAAAGAAAGTGCCTCACAAATCACCATATCCTTCTCAAGACATAAGGATGTCTTGAGACTGGGTGCCACATGCAAGCACTGCTAGTCTGCTGGGCATGCAGCACTTTCCTTCTTGGTTAGGAATCCCAGCATCCTAGCTCTAAGATAGATGGTTCTTATCTACATATGCATAGAGAAGCAGAGCAAGCCTAGGCAGATTTTTGTTGTTGCTGTTTCCTTAGAAAAAAAAAAAATTAAAAATATCCTGTTTCATAGGAAAAATATATATGAAACAAAAGGTTTTCACTTTCCTCGTGATACCTGTGAGAAGTGTTTCAGACATCCTCTGTGAAGATAGAAATTCACATTTCCACATTGCAGCAGCCACTAAACTCCGACTTTGGCTGTGCTTTTGTAAGACATTATAGGCAATGGAACATGTTTGAGGTGAGGGCTGTGGTGCACTGCACTGTTTTTGTATCATGAGAAAGGAGAAGTAAAATGTGAAGATAAGAATTATTGCTACCTTTTTTATGCCAGTTGCTGGTTCAAGACGTTCCAGCTATTTGGGGATTTGTTTGTTTTCACACAATGATCCTGACATCCAGTTACTCATAACATGTCACTCTCAAGAGCACTGCAACACTTTGTACCAGGAACTGCATTTCAGAGGTGAACCCGGGGTCAAACGCATTCCTGCTAATTGTACTGATTGCAGGAAAGTTATTCTACGATTGAATTTGTTCTCTGAAGTTAAAGGGGGAAGCTGCTAATTGCTTTTAAGGAGGACCCAGAAAAATGACTGGAGGCTGCACAGTAACTCCCTGCCCAGGCGCACCGGGCGCATGCCCGCCCAGCACACACAAGATAAGAGCTGCTAATCTTTTGGGGGAGTGTGGTATGTGAGGAGGACATGCAGTTCAAACTATGTGAGGGCTTGGAGGGGGAGATACAAACAACCAGTGACAGAAAAGGGGTTCTGTATGTCCACACATTCTGTACTGCTGGTACTCACTGTGTAGAAGAAATCTACTGCACTGATCTGATTTCTTCAGAGCTGCCACCAGTGCAGGGGTATGGCCACTGGCTCTTTTCTGAAGTGTTTCTACAATGCTCTGAATGTCCTCAGGCTCCACAAAGTCTACATCTACTATTACCATGATTCCACCAGGCAGCATATGCGTTTCCTTCCTGATCTAGCTTTTTCTTATAATTTTCCTACCTACCAAATCTGAAGTCTCTCTTTGAGTTAGGGCAAGGAGAGACACACAAGGTCTAGTTTGTGCAGAGTATCACAGAGCAGTTCTTGCTCATTGATGTGCAATGTCACGAGGACAAACAAACTCTGCTTCTCCACTATAATTCATGATTTGGTATATCAAGTTAAACCTCTACTCATCATCCTGGTTTAATTATTTTAGTTCTTCCACTTTCCCCAGAAATCCTAGCTCCCCAAACCTTTCCTACTCAGAAGTCCAAGTTCTGAAAACTATCTGGAATGGTATCTCGTTTTTGAAGTATTTCTGTTGGCCGAGTCATCCTGCACCTCATTGCTGAGAAGAGCACAGCCCTGCAGAGGAAGGGTAACTGCCTGGGATTTGGCAAAGTTTGCCAGCTTCCTGCGTGAGAAATTGTATGGGGAACATGTAAGAGGATGTATTTGCTGAACTTCCTCAAGCTTGGGCTGAAATCCACGACAGAGGAAACTAAATAGAAATTTGCAACAACCTGAGATTGCTTAGTTTGCAGGGCTCTTACTAGTGGCTACCTTAGGAGATGGAGAAAACAGCAGTCTATCTTGTTTTAGGAATTACTCTATCTTTGCAGAAAAAGCACCAGAGGTTGTAAATAAGATTTCAGCTGACAAAAGTTTTGCTCCGAGTTCTTTGGGAGGGTGTAGCAAAGCTGTCAGACTGACTTCTTATATTAAGCTCCAGCTGTCATTTTCCTTTGCCTGCTCTATGGTACTGCTGGATGCAGGCTCCCATTTGAAGCTCTTGGCTTTTGAGACAGAGCACCTCATCATGTTCAGGTAGACTGCTGCAAGTACACACCTTTCCATATGCCTTTGTTGAATGAGACCAGGAAGGAGGGGAGGGAATTGCCCTGACAGTTGAAATTTAGCAGCTCTGGTTCGCTGCTTGGTGAAGTCATTGGGAGACTTTCTATTGGCCTCAAAAGGTAAGGAACAGGGCATAAGGACCAACATGAACAGAGTAATTCTGTTTTATGCAAGGGAAAAAGTAGAGTAAAACCAGCTAAGAATCGAAAGCTGAATGTTACATGTCCGATTTGAAATGTACTTGTAACAGGTAAAGGTTACCTGAAAGTGACCTAAATAAGACTGGGTTCTTGAACTATTTCTTATGAGGGGTCTGCAAAATATCCACAATGCCATTTGCAGGCATTCCCCCATGCCAGCATGTGGCCTGGGCTCAGGCTTCAGCACACATCTCCTTGGAGGCAGGCAGTGACTGTGGAGAAAGCTTTGCACTGGAATCAGGGGAAACTTCACCTCGAGTTTCTCTGGTTTGGAATGAGTCAATGTTGACTTCAACCTGATATCTATAAGGAAGCTGAAGATAAACCTCTCAAACGAAAAATGTGATCACCAACCACATGCAAACAACATCAATGCTGCAATACAAGCAGAGATGAACTATCTGAGTTGATCCTTCTGGTGCTATTGGGTGCCAGTTGGGGATGAGTGGCTGACACTGGCCCCAAGGGAGCTGTGGTTTTAGAATGGGAGTTATTTCAATTGTCATTAGGTCCACACTTTACCAACACTCCTTCCGTGGGCAGAAACAGCAAAGACAAGCAGCAGTATGGCTGTTTTTCTGTTAGGTAAGTGTCTAACAAGGTGGGTTTACTTGCAAAGGAATGGACCGTGGCCCAGGTAAAAGTGATCTGGTGGCACGAAGGTCTTCCATAATTTTGCTCTTCCCACAGGCTGGTATTTTGCAACCTAAGGTTTCAGTTCAGACCCATTGTTCAGTAAGACATTTGAAAGCAGAGGGAAATCCTTTTCTTGTTAACTCACCTGTATTGCAAGGGTTTCTGTTTTATCTGTTGAAGGTGATGAAATTGCTAACCCAAACAGCTCCCTGCCCTTCATTTAGGGATTAGTGACTTCATGAGCACAAGAACAAACATAGGATGCTGAACTTAGAGCTTGGCAAGTTCAAAGCCTCCCAATCTGAGATGAGAAA